CAATCATACCAGCATTGGTCATATCCATTACTATGTAGCCATAAGTTTCATCAGTACTTTGAAAATTATATGCATCTGGGACATTTGTGATTGTATTATTTATGGWGTGTTCCAAGTCTCCAAGATTATTAAAACTTAAATTCCACTAAAAAAAAATATGATTATATAGCTGTAATTATTATAAATACTAATACTTACTAATAGATGAATAAGCTCAGCATCATTTTCAGCTTCTTTTTCTAATAACACCATTATTGAAGTATTTTGAAAGCCAGCAACAAATAACAACAGTTGTTGTTGGCYGGCAGTATTAATTTGTGGTTGAAAACTTGTAGGAGTTCTACATATATTCTCTGTAGGTGTGGCAAAATTATATGATTCTGCCATGCTAAGTTTAGCCATCAAAGGTGTCATTGTATCTTCTTTAATTGCAGGTTTTCTATCTAAATTATAATTTTGTATAAATATGTGTATTTAGTTTATAGATAATAAGATAAAAATTTACCAATAGCTTGTAAATTCAATGGTATGGAAGTGGGCCGAACTGGTTTTTTTGATTTTAATATTTTTTCTAAATAAATGAATATTATGTTTAACAAAATATAATTTAAAAAAAATATTTTAAAAAAAGATGAAATTGAACCTTTTTCATTTTGTACTTTAATATCAAGATCAGTATAATGTTGAGATAGTTGTTTGTCATATAGTGCTTTTGAAACAGCAAAGTCATCATCACGTAATAATGGGAAATATGGGTCACATAGTGTTCTATACTTATCACTATGTTTGGAATTGTCATAATTTATTGTTTTAGGCAACAACCTAAGACTCTGATACCTTGTTGTGTCTTTTCTAGAACAAAAAGTTTTATTTTTTTAAGTAAAAAAATATAATGAAAACTCAATGTTATACCTTAAAGTAACGAGTTTTGAGAAATTCGGCATTTTGTTCAAAGACGATTCTAGAGAAGAACATTTTTCAGCATTAAATTTGTCTAATCTCTTTTCTGCTTTGATAATAGATTCTTTCACGATATCTGGCATACTACAGATTGAACCACTGTTACTATCTGGAGTATCTTCTTCTTCAACCGTGAACATATTTTTATTTTCTGGAATTTTGTCATTTTTTGAACAGTCTTGTGACTTGTCAGCGACCTGCATTATTTGGTAGRAGATTTTCTTTAAATTTAAATAATTGATATCCAAAATTAAGTTATGTAAATACCTTATTTTTTTGCCGCCATTTTGATGCTTTTTTTACTGATTGTTTCAATGAGGTAGCTGTTTTTCTTATTTGTAATACTTGTTCTCTATCAATGAAAATATACAAGAGCTGAGTGCCTAATGGTAAATGAAAGCTTCCTTTAACATTTTTAGCTGGTATCTATAGTAAATGAGTTAATTTTAGTAAATTGTCATGTAACTAATAATAATAAAATATCTGATAAAGTTGTTAAGGCAGTTAAAAATAATGTACTAAAAATACAGTCAGTACCATCTCTAATAGCATCATTCATAACAATGTTAAATTCAATGTCCTGGCAAAATTTTGTTCATTTATAAGTATATTTAAATAACAACATATTTT